TAATATAAACAGCACCAGGCCCTCCCTTTCCCCTCCTCATGCCTCCTCTCGCTCTCTCGCCTCACACAGCTGGGTCCCCGTCCAAGATTTGTCTTTGAAAAATGTAAAAACTCAAATTGGGAGAGCCGAGCAGAGATGCTTCCATTTCAAACGACTTACAAAACTATTCAATTTTACGTCAGAATATATTATTAATCACCAGAACTTCGTGATATGAAGCTAATTAGAGCATAAATTAAAGGCCATTACCAAACAATTCTTTAAACAGAGTTTAAAACTCTTAAAACTAACCATTCTCTATCTTACTAGGCCGAGGTTCATCCCAACTCTGAAACAGTTATTAGCTCCTTTCAAGTTAAAGCTTCTGTGTTCACAGCCAGAGCTGCCATATTAGGCATGGCCCCTCTTTTTGACATCACACAGATCCAACAGTGGAAAAAACTCTCTGAAAGTGGGAGCTTAAGGCATTGTAACAACAGTAAAATGAATGTGAAAGAGGCTCTTTTTGTAGCTGTGATACTAACAGACCCCATCATGTCTAAGATGTCTGAAAATCTTTGTAATAAACCGCTTTGGTATTTTTCTAGGATTTGTTCAAATAAGGAAAAAAAATATATCATAACACCAACTTTGTCCTTTAAAAATCACAATAAAGACCAGATTTTCATTTATCCACTTTCAGTCTTACACTCTGGTTGTTTATGTTCATAGAAAAAGATACTTTTAGCCAACAGCTCATACCAATAAAAAGATCCAGGTTTGGAATCCAGTCTGTTTTAATGTTTACTTTTGGAAATCTCACTTGAAACCTGGAAAACCTGGAAAGTCCCGCTTTTTCACACTGCCTCACCCACCAAATGAACAGTTTATTCAACTGTCTTTACATCTGTTTTTTCCATCGCGCTCTTGTGAGGTTCAGACATCCACATAACAGCATACAAATTGAAGTGTAAATCCAAAAAAACACTCCCAAGATCCATTTAGACAAACCAGCCGTCTGTTCTGAGTTCAGCCAGGAAGCTCGCCCAAAGTGCAACAGGAAAGAAAGCAATTTCAACACTGTTTTGCAGGTGTAAATGTAATCTGGATACATCGCGCCGAGGCAGAATGGATTTCAGATGCAGGTTAAAATAATTTGTTAAGAGGCCGTTTGCACTGTCTCTCTGCTTCTCCCGCTTGTAATTTCCACCACGCAGTCCATCTGTCTCCGCTTTAATCCTCCTCCTTGATTCCTTCCATTTTTATCCATTTCCCCACTTTTTTGTTCTTCTTCTCTCGTTTCATGAGCTGACTCATTCACGCAAATGTTTATCTCCTGCCTCTGAGTCACTTCTTGTGTTTATCCCAGATTCGATACTTGCAGGGAACCAACAGGTGTTGTGATTGCCTAAATTGGATCCCTCTGTATGCTTAAGGGTGTTCTGTTAGTTTTATGTGGTCACAGGAGGCAAAATAGAGAGAGTCCACTGGCATAATTCTAGTTAAAACTAAACATAGGGAGCCGTCCCTCCTACGTGGCGGCTGATCTTTTGCACCTCCGTCCCTTTGTTCTTCTCAACTCCTTCTCCGCTCTTAAAGGTGTGTCCAAACAAATGTGAAAGGAACAGAGAGAAGCAAGTTTCTATAATTAGATGCTACAAACTCTTTGCGAGAAATGAAAAAAGTTTCTGCTTGAATAATGCGCTCGTACGAACACACAGACGAGGAGAGAAAGGGAGACAGACGGATGGAAAACACAAATAAATTCAGTTTCTCGTGAGTCCTCACATCCGTCAGGGGCTTCAGCTGTCACGCTTGATTAATGCATACCTTGCAATCAAGCTCGCAGCTCATGTTTTTCCATTGGGAACATCAATTGAGAGGTGCAGCCTCAACCTTCACACCCCCACAGAAATAACAATTTATGACTCTTCATTTTGTCCCACACACCTTTAGAAAACATTCGCACAAAATTGTGGTACATCTCGGTACATCTACAGCCACATTAAAAGCCTGAATGATGGGATGAGCGCTAATCACGTCTTCATCCTGCAACAAAGCTGCATCACAGCCAACATCTGGTCACCAGGAGGACAGGTGGACCGGTTCTGTGTTCTGTATTATTGTGATGCTAAAAAGGAGCTGCTCTTTAACTCCCTTTCTGGGTAGCTCCACATATTGGATTTTTATGCTGGATGGCCCATCCCCCAAAGGGGACCTGTGTTTATACCTGGTCTCAAACCAGCGTGCTTTTGCCCGATAGGTGAAAATCCAAAAGGGGAAAAATGCTGGTCGCAGCAGGTCAAACCTTTTAAAATTTATAAGGTCTCTACACAATATAAGCAAACTTAAAAACAGTGTGCCGGTTATATGATTAGATGCAGTGACGTTTAAAATGATTAATCACAGACAGGTGAAAGGCCATCTTCTTAAGTGCTTTGACATGTCTCCTGACCAGGCGTGTTGTCTTCCAAAAGGCTCAGCTGCAGGAAACCAAAAGCCAACGTTCATCTGTTCTAGTTACTGCTGAACGTTAAAAATTGATGGCTCAATGTGGATGAAGTGCCAGAACAGATGTGGCCACCTCGCTCTGTACTCTGCATGTATTGCATTTTGCCACTCTGATCTCTCTTCATTCCCCAGTCAGTCCGTCTCTATTGCTCTCCTTAATTTTGTGTAACTTTCTATCTGATTGATGTATTTCTTTGGCATCTGTCTTCACCATTCTCCCTCAGCACATTTCTTCTGTGCAGAGCAGACAGTTCCTGACTCATTAAATACAACAACAACAAAAAAAGGTTTCACCCTCAGGTTTAAATAAGTAGAAATTTAAATTACCTTTTTTTTGGCAACCTCCAAAGAGCAGCTTTTAAACATCACCCTTGAATCTCCATTTTTGTGACAAGATAGGAGTCTCCCTCTCTCCCTCATTTCTACTTTCTCATGACATACTAAAGTACAATTGGACATCCTTATCCTGAATCTTATTGGTTGTATTTAAACGACATAAAGCCAATCGGCGCTGTCTATTCAAAGCAGAGCTCGGACACATTTTTCCTCCTCCTGCTGTCTTTATTTGTCCTTATAAAACGGTTAAAATCTCTGCTGTCATGTCCAGTTTGTCCTCCACTCTGCATCGGTTCTTCAATATAATAATATGAATGTTGCAGGAGTTTATCCTTCTGTATTCTTTGTTTCAAAGAATGTTGTGCCATTTGTTAATAGCAAAGAGAACTATTGAACATATATGAAAAAGAAGAGCTATTTTAAATTATTTTTTGGCTTTTTTTGCTATATTTATTTTCTTGTATTAGAATCTTCTTTGTAGGAGGGAAAAAAATCAAAAAATGTATTTTTCATTAGTGCGAAAAACCTATTTTCTTCCTTTTTGTACAATTTCGATGTTTTAAGCGAGACTTTGAAAAGCAATATGATGATGATGATGATGTTTCCTGTGACTGTATCTGCATGCTGTTTGTGTTGCCTTAATGATGGCTGCATCCCACTATGCCCCTGCCCACCCCGTGCCTCCCCAACCTGACCCAACCCACTCTGCTCCCTTCCTCCTCTCAACTTCATCTGATGGAGTCCCAGTCCCATCCAACCCAGTCCAGACCAGTCCAGTCCAGTGCAGTCAATAAAGCAGTGCTTTCTGTGTACATTAAACTCTCTGCCTCTCTGTTCATTACACAAACACAGCTGATTTAACAAAGATCTTTATTTTACTCTGGCTTTAGCAGAAGTAGATTAGATTTTTAATACCAGCTTTCAGCTGAAACAAAAATAAAATATCTCTTTGACAAAAACTAGGCTAAGCTTTTCTACCATAATCATCAGCATTTAGTTACTTTCTCATTACCAAAGAAATCTAGAATCACCAAAACTCTTGTGTAGACTCTAGAGGAGTAGAGAAATGTCAAAGGTCACTATAAAAATCTTTCTGCAGTGTCACAGTAAAGTGAGTTGAATTTGATAGTTTGATTTATGAGGTGTTTGCTGCTCTGCCAATAAACCGAGGGAGAATAAAGTACAGGGGAGAGGAGAGTAAAATTTCCTTTCTGCTGCTGAATAAATAAAAAGGTAGGACCATGCAAGCGGCTTTGTGATGCTACACGAGCCTGATAACATTTGCTAATTAGTGCGAGTCTAGAGTCTGCTGGGAATTTTTTTTGTTGCATGTATCAAAAGGAGGAAAAGTTGAGGCTTTCCAGTCAAACTTATAATCGTTCATGGGCCACACACATACAGTTTGATCTCAATTTGGCCGGAACAGTAAAACTATTGTATGGAAAAAATGTACAAATATATTCTGAAAACATTCCCATTTAATGAGACATCCACATATAAAATAGATGCGGTACAGGAGGGTAAGTCTTAGAAAACGTGCAATTTCAGCAATGTCTCGTGTTTTTCTGCATACAGTGAGTTTACTGTCGTCACATTACCAATAAAGTACACCGATCACAGTGGATCTAAAAAGGTAAAAACTTTCACGTGTACGGTATTTGTGACCCTTTGATGCCAAATGTATATTTGATACGTTTTTGATCCCTATACTTCAAAATCACATCTCAGTGTAATTTTGTGCTTTTTCCATTAAAACCTGATGTATACAATGTCAGATGTAGCAAAAGTAATCTAAAAAGAAACTCATGTAACTTATGCAAACTGGAATTTCTTTTTTTTAATCATTTTTATTATTATTTCTCAGAAATTTCAATAAACACTCCAGGCTCAAAAAATTTAAATTTACTGGCAATTATTTATCATGGATATGTAGCCAAGAACGCTGCAGTAAGGTGTTTGGTTTCATCCTGTTTCTAACTGAACCATCTGACTATGGCAAGTTTGACTTATGACTTATGGCAAAATTGAGACTCGTCGGACCAGACAAGATAATTTGATTGATTGACTGATGTCTAAATTTCATATTGTAAATAGTATAAAGAATCTGTAATATGGGGAATAAAATTAAACTATAAAAAGGGTTTGAGGATCAACAGTAACTCAAACCAAGAAAACATGAAAAAAGCAAAAAATTTAATTATCAGATGTATTCTGGACAGGTTTTCTTTTTTTTGTTGATTCTTTTTGTTGATCTAATCAAGCGACCTGCCAAGGAGAGACCTCGAACCTCAAGATAGCCAACAACCTGCCGACGATCCGGCCAGACTTGGACGTTCTTCATTCAGGCTGGAATTTCTTGTCAGGCCAGAAATTAATACTGTGGCAACCGCCTTTAAGAAAATCAGGCTCACCTGAAAAACACCACATGGCAGCAGCCTGGAGTTTGTCAAAGCATAGACTGAGCAAAGAAGAAAAAAGATCTGATGAAATACGAATCAAAACGCTTCTGCTGTAATGCAGAGTGCTGTGTCTGCTGGAACTGGGGAGGCTGATCAAACCTCTAAGACCATCTATACCTCGCAGCATGATGGTGCCGCTTCAGACTTGGCCAGAGACGATGGAGAGACTTGGCCAGAGGTCCAAAGGAACAATGCAGGAATCCAAATGTAGGCAAATCTCAAGAAGAGCATGTTTCTGACTGCCAGGGGCCTAAGAGCGGGGCCAATAAATTTCTCCTCCAACAGGACTCAAACAGGCTGCCAAATCAACACTGGAGTGGCTTCACAACAGGAATGTGAAAGTCCTTCAGTGGCCTCAAAGCCCAGACTTGAATCCCAGAGAAAATCTGTGGAATGACTTTAAGATCGAGCCATATCCAAATGTGCCAAGCTGTTAATGTTTCCAGGAAGAGTTGAAAGGGAGCTGCTGTGACAAAGAATCCTCTCACAGTTGAATAAGCTGAATTATTTAGAACCTGCATATTAATAATGGCTCGAACAAATATCTGTCATTATGGACCAAAGAGCAAAGCGAGCAGCTAGCTGATGAACATGGAGCGTTTAGCAGCTAATCTTTGCTCAGGACTTTCCAGAGCAAAACTAAAACAGAAGGTCACTGGGTGGTGGCCAGAAACACCAGGAACTGTGTGGTTTCAATTAAGCTATTGTCACCTGTTCCCCTTTTGCCCCACTGGCAACAATTGTTGCCAACGTTTATCACTGTCATTTTCGACTCACAATAAAAAATCTCAAAGGTACTAATGCAACTTTTTCCACTTATATGCTAGTAGACAACTTAGACAAAGGTTTTGATTTTTAAAAAATCGTTTCCAAGTGCTTCCTATCGCATGACATCATCTGCTTCCCGCTCTTTCTGGCTGAAGACATGGCGGATGCAAATCATCCTGGAAAGAGGTAATTTTCATAAATTTCTTATGACTTTCCCCCCAAACATATTTATAATTATTTAATCATTCAAGTCTCTAGAGTAACCCTCCCCAAAAAAATTGTACCTAGGATAAATATTTTTTTGTTCATGGGCTTATTTCTGTGAGTGGCAACAAAAGTTGCCAGTGGGCACATAGCATGTCGCTAACTAAAGGAAAACACTGTCTGCAGGATTGCTCCTAATTTACTTATTTAAAATTGTAGAATGATGTACAATGGCTCATTTTAGTCCTTTTAGAATAATTCCTAGCTAAATAAATTCACAGGTATTCAAGGCCTCTGTGTATAGGATTTTTATACATTACCATACATCATTTTCTTGCTAGCTAAAATTCGCTTGCTAGCTAACATGTATGTTGTCCTTTCCTTAGGTACACCGTAGCAGAGATCCTGGCCATGCTGCAGGACTCTGAAACTGTGGCGGACATCACAGTTGTGCCTGAGTCAGAAATGCACGCACATGACACAGACTGTGACAGTGACCAATCTGATGATGAGGCCACTGGTGACCATAACCGCCTCCCATCAAGAATACTCAAAGGTGAAGGCTTTCTACCTAATTCGGACATGCAGCTGCCAAATCCCCCCGATGATGATCCTGGGTGCTCATCCTCAGTGAGTCAGACAGAGACTAGAAAGGTCAGTGGCACAAATGAAAAGGTGACCAGTCAGATTGTTGGGCCCATGCTCCACAAAACTAAGAACCAAGACAGGAAATTCAAAAAAATCAAAATTGCGGCCAAAGCACCAGCACAAGCCAACAAAAAATATCAGATCCCTCGCTATGTCCCCAAAGAACATGATCCTGGCTTCACATCAGATGATCCAGTGGATATCTTCCTCACATTTTATCCCAAGTCCCTCAGAGATGTCACACTGGAAATGTCCAATCTCTACGCTGAACAAAAAGGGAAAACGCTCAACCTGACTGAGGATGAACTTCTTACATTCTACGGTATTCTGTTGATCAGTGGATACAACACAGTCCCAAGGCGGCGTCTTCTCTGGTCAGACGATTGTGATGTCAGCAACAATGCTGTAAAAGATGCCATGCGGAGGAACAGGTTTGATGAAATTATGTCTTCTGTTCATTTAGTAGACAACATGAAGATCACAGCTGACCCGTTCTTCAAGGTGCGTCCCCTTTTTAAGCATCTAAATGACATCAACAACGCAATCCCGATAGCAGAACATGTGGCAGTAGATGAGATGATGATTGAGTATTTTGGAAGGCATGGGTGCAAACAGTTTATTAGAGGGAAGCCTATTCGTTTTGGGTATAAAATATGGAGCTTAGCATCCTCCTCCGGGTTTGTCCATCAGATGGAGCCATATGTAGGAAGCCACACACATCTGGTGGAAACTGGACTTGGTCAGGGTCCAAGTGTGGTTCTTGGCCTGGCAGAGAAAGCTGAAGTGCCACCTGGAGTCAAGTTTTACCACGACAACCTCTTCACAACCCTGTCCCTGGTGGATGAGATGACCCTGAGAGGCTATGGCAGCTGTGGCACGATGCGACAAACTCAGCTCCATAACGTTCCCTTCACAGCACCCCAGACCTTCAAGAAGACACCCAGAGGAGATGCTGAGTATCTGGTTGAGGCAGAGAAGCTGATTGTAAGGTGGAATGACAACAGCGTGGTCACCGTGGTGTCGAACATGGAGAGGGAGTTCACCGAAACTGAGGCGAAGAGATGGAATAAACAGAAGCGGACTATGGACAAGGTCAGACAGCCCAAGTGTATCCAGGACTACAACACACACATGGGAGGAGTGGACCTGCATGACCAGTTTGTCAGCCGCTACAGAGTCAACATCCGGTCCAAGAAGTGGTGGTGGCCATGCTTCAGCTGGGCCCTGAACAGTGCCATGGTGAACAGCTGGTGCTATTACAGGTACACAAGGCTGTATGTTATTTAGTGATATCACAATCGAGTTGGTGATGTTTGACTCGAGGTCATCGCTAGTGCTCTTCGGTCGACAAGAGCAACAGTGATGATATCCAGACCAACATCACAAACTCAAGTGTGATATTGCTTTTACAGAACATTCTACATATGGGGCATGACGTTGTAGAAAGGATGAAACGATGCACATTCATGCATCTATCATGCTTGTTTTGTCATTCATTTAGGTCCTGGAAAAGCGGGGAGAAGGATCTCCTCTCCTTCCAGAGGCTGGTAGCCCAGACCCTCCTCCTGCGCCATGGAACAAAGCCAAGTAGGCAGGGCAGAAGATCTTCAATGGCGGTGGCGATAACTGATGCCACCAGGTTTGATAATTTGAACCACTGGCCCTGCAACACTGGTAGCAGGTACAAGCGATGCAAGAACTGCGGCGGACGCACATCATTTGCGTGTGGAAAGTGTGATGTGCCACTACATGTGGAGTGCTTCAAGAAGTACCACACTGAGTAGAACATGCATGAAAGATGATGGAATGTATGGGAAGAAATATGTTATATATGTATATATGTTTTTAGAGGTTCTAAGAAAAAAATGTTTGTTGAGTTTTTGAGTATAAAAAAATTGAGAATAAAGAAATCAGTTCAAATTGTTTGATGTTTTGAATTTTATACAGGGGGAACCTGAGGCTCCACCTTTTTGTTATTATTTATTATGACTATATTATTATTTTGTTCTTATTATATTATTATTATTACTTCTCTATTATTATTATTAGGTGACATTTGACCTAGTGACAAGCTGTGTGACTACTGGCAACAATTGTTGCCAGTCATAAAAATGCTATTTTCTTCAAAAAAAAGTACAAAATGGAAAAAATAAATACATAACATGATTCAGAGGGACTCAACTGATAAAATGATATGCCTATGAGATGATACTCTTTTTGTCATCATTCTTTGTAAGAAATGATGCCAAGGTACTATCCATCTATTAAAATATATCAACTAGGGCTGTTCATATAACGATATATATCGGATGACGATATAAAAACAACTATTGTTTGGTGTCGCAAAATAAACTGTTTACGGCAATATTTTTTCATCGTTTTGATGGTCACTGTAGTGGCTATATTAATTTCTTAAAGTTCTCTCTTATATTTAATATAACCACACTACTGAAGGACAAGTGCCTGTTTTTATGCTTTGTCCTTTGCAACAATGATGGTAAAACCATCGCGTGTCCGCTTGTTTATTTTCCACATAAACCTTTCACAATAAAGCTCAAGATCCTGTTGAGACTTTTCAAAATAAACTGAATCACGTGAAAGAGTACGCAGAGTATTTACGGATGAGAAGCAAAAAAAAGAGCCGCTAGGTGCTAAAAAAAAAACCTTAGATTCAAACGTTAGAACAGGCTTTTCCCCGCAGCACGCCGTGTAATAAATACTCACAAAGAAACCGGAGGCCGTTACAACTTATGTCTAAAAATGTGTCGTTTCATGCATCGGTTAAAACACTCCACTCCCGGTACATGACGCCCAGCTGCAAACACTTCAGGCAAGTTGAGCTGCCCGAGATTCACAGAATTTACAGAAAATGTTAAATTTTTGTGATTTATATCGTTATCGGACGATAGAATTCTTATATCGGGATATTTTGGTCATATTTCACAGCCAATATCAGCTGATATGTATTGAAAACGTGAAAACGGCCCAAACAGAGAATGTTGCCACGGGATCATAGTCATTCTCCATTACCAAGCACTTCCTATGAAACTGGAAGCACAGAGTGGAAGCTGTCAACTATTCCAGATTTGGTAAAATTATATTAGATCCAAGCAAGCCATAATCCACAAAAAAGCTGCGCTAATGGCATGAAGACAATAAATTACACAAAATCAAAACCACATATGAAGAAGGCTTTTATATAACATGATATTTAAATCTGATACACTGTAATTTGTTTTCAACTCAGGCAGCAGCACCATTAAGATGCAGCTGCCAAACAGCTTTCTCCCCTCTATTGATTTTTCATCAAAGTGTCAGATTAACTGGCTGCCAGCACAAAAGGCTCTTAAATGGATCCCCTGATATTTTGAATTTTGGTCTGTCGTATATCTTAGCCAGATGCTTGTCACGTTGTGGAGGAAACTATTTGCTGCCCGATGTCTTTCTGGAGTAGGACACAGCTTATTATCATTCCTTACTGACCATGTGATTTAAATAGGAAGCTAATGAGTCAGCTGATGACCTAAAATACTTTGCATTCACTGACACATGGGAGAGCAGCTGAAGGACCTGTACATAAATTAAATCAATCCTCCTCCTCAGGTTCAAAGAAAAGCATCAAAGGACAAATAAAAACTCTGATAAATGTATGGTGCAGAAAATATCTCTCACTAAAAATGTCATCAGTCATCTCAGCCAAGTGGCATGTTTTTAATAACTAAATTCTCCATTCCTGCTATCCTTCTCATTGTTGTTATTAGCCTTTCTTATACTTACACATCATCCAAAAATGACACTCTCTGGGTTTTGGCAGGGAGTAAATAATGAACAAAAATTCATTTATTAAGTCTCAAATTTAAGCGTTCATCATTTCCAGAGCTTCTTTAACCAACTCAGTCTTCAGTGATCAGCCAGCGATCCCAGTGGATTTTTGCACTTTCAGTCAATCAGGCTTAGATTACTGCACAGTGGGGATAACAGATCAGTCAGCACACTGCATGACGCTGCCCTTGACTAATTTAATAAACCTGCAATATAATTTACATTTCCATAATTTTCTACTTCAAATAAGAGAAGAAAATATACCCCCAAAAATGGAAAAGCAGCTACAACTGAATGAGAATTCTTCCTCAGCTTATTCCTAGCTAGCATTTAAAAGTGTCACCTCAGCCTTCTGATGTTCTCCTGACCGATCCTGTGTACATCATAACTAATTGATAGTTATGAACAGTTAATGAAGCTAGTCAAGTCAAGTGGCTTTATTGTCTTTCCAACCGTGTGCAATGGTACAGTACACAGTGAAACGAGACAAGACCATGGTGCTGCATATGACATATAACAGACAATCAACACAGGACTACATAAAGTGCAATGTGCAAAAATTGCAAAAAAAAAAAAAAAAAAATCCCAAAACAAAGACAGTGCAACACCAGACAGATCAGAACAATACAGACACAAGACCGTGCAGACACAACAGTGCAATAGAAATGTGCAAAAGACTGAGTATTGTGCAAAAAGTCATTTGGTGTATGAAGGTGTGCATGTGTCAGTCCAATCACTGAGTGTTCAGGAGTTTGACGTCTTGGGGCAAGAAACTGTTTTGCCGTCTGGTAGTGAGGGCCCGAATGCTCCGGTACCTCTTTCCAGAAGGCAACTGGGTGAAGAGTGCGTGTGAGGGGTGTGTGGGAGTGCTCCACAATGCTGGTGGCTTTGCGGATGGAGCGGATGCTATAAGTGTCCGTGATGAAGGGAAGAGAGGCTCCATTGATCTTCTTTGCTGTTTTCACTATCAGTTGTAGGGTATTGCCATCTGATATGGTGCAGTTACCATGCCGGACAGTGATGCAGCTGCTTAGGACGCTCTTGATAGTCCCTCTGTAGAAGGTGGTGAGAATGGATGGTGGGAGATGGGCTTTCCTCTGCTTCTGCAGGAAGTAGAGACGCTGTTGGGCCTTCTTAGTTATGGAGCTGGTGTTGAAGGACCAGGAGAGGTAGAGGTTCTCTGCCAGGTGGACACAAAGGAATTTGGTGCTCTTGACAACCTCTACAGAGGATCCATTGATGTTAAGTGGACAGTGATCTCTCTGTGCTCTCCTAAGGTCAACAATCATCTAGTTTGTTTTGTCCACGTTTCGAGACAGGTTGTTGACTCTACACCAGTCCGTTAGCTGTTGCACCTCCTCTCTGCATGCTGATGAGACCCACCACAGTCGTGTCATCAGCAAATTTTATGATGTGGTTCGAACTGTGCATTGCTGCACAGTCGTGAGTCAGCAGAGTGAACAGCAGTGGGCTGAGCACACAGCCCTGAGGGGCTCCAGTGCTCAGTGTCAGAAAGTCCAGGATCCAGTTGCAGAGGGAGGTGTTCAGGCTCAGTTTTCCAATCAGGTGCTGAGGAATGATTGTGTTGAATGCGGAACTGTCTATGAACAGAATTCGTACATGCGTGTCTTTATTGTGCAGGTGGGTGAGGGCAAGATGTAGGAATCAAATAACCCCCCACTGTGGTGCACTGTCCCTGCTACACCGTCTGTCCAAATCCATAGATGCTTAGCGAGCACATCCTCCCTTTGAGTATCATTTACATGTGCTCGTAATGCCATATCACCATGAAAAACATTTAAAAACTACCCAGAAGTGTATTAAATTTATAAAGAGGTCCCACACTAAGGAGGACATATAGATCCTGATCAGGTGATATTGTCGAGGCATTGAGAAATTCAATAAAAAAGTACAAAGTATTTTATAAACAATACTGACATTTTGTAATGGTTTGTTTTATCCAATTGCTCTTTATATTTTATCTCAGCCTCCTCCATCTCTGTGGACCAGCCTCCTCTGCTGATAAAAATCAGCTTAAATAAGCACTCGTTGTAAAAAATAAATAAATAAAACTAAATAAAACCAGCATTGCGGCAGGTGCATAAAAAAGTTTGCCCGGGTCCCCTGTGGTATGCTCAGCTCTGAAACTTCATCCTGCTGTTACCTGCTGGAGATATGAAGCTATGTGGTAAAATATAAAAATTCACACAAAACGAGGGCTCTCAAAAGCTTCTTTCAAGCTCCCTGAAATTGTTGTGGGATAGTGTGTCAGTAGTATAACTATACAGCAGCTTGAGCTAGTTAAACCTTCATAATAGCCCAGAAGAATAACATTTAAATTGCGAAAAAGGAAAAAAAAAAGATTTTCAAAAGCTTCCCACAGGAATGAAAATGAGTGCTTTGTAAAGAAAGCCAGGTGCATGAAATCTCTCCAGGTGCTTTTGCTTTGTGCATCTAAATTGATTTCCATTATTATGAATATGTCTGTTTGTTTGGCTCATTTCCAAGCTGTGCTTGTGTGACGCGCTGAGAGAGCCGAGGTCCATCCGAATCCAAAGGAGCCTTTTAGATTGTAATGCAGATAGAAGAGAGAAGGAAAACAGCTGGAGGAGATGGTCAGTTTATGATCAGGCGCAGCATGATGCAGAGCTGATTCACCAACCATTTTTTCTTGTTACGAGGATCTAAAACAGGGGTGTCAAGCAAACAAGTTAAAGGCTCCAACTGGAATAGGGAGCAGTAGCAGTTAACGATTTCAGCGCCACAAATCTGTAGACCTGTTGTGACGTGTAGTTTTTATGCACATTTGCACGTTTTCTGACTGTACTTCAAAGTAAAAGTTTTGGTTTTTTTTCCAAAATATTTAAAAGAAAATGGCACCAGGAAACTCCAACAAATGGTTTGACTCACTTTAGATCAAATGACGCCTGTGTGTTTGACACAAGGGTCTAAAATAAACCCACACAAATAATCTTCTGTTGTTACTGGGTGCCATCCACCATCAATGGATGTGTGCCATCGGATTCATGACATCCTGCAACGACAGAGGAAGGAAGTGGGCGTCTTTGCTGGCAGGATCTGAACAATTGTATCTGTTA